AACGTTGGGCAGCCCAACTTGCGTCTTTCGACTTTGAGATTAAGTATCGCTCTGGTAGAAGTAATGGAAATGCTGATGCCCTGTCCCGTCAGCACCCACCAGGAGTGCAAGATCTTGAAGCTATGCTCCCTAGCACGTTGCTCCCCTTGCCTTTACGGCAAGCCTTGCCAGTGGCAAAGGCAACACAAACGGCTGTCATAGCCCTGCCTCATCATACACAGTCTGATATGGAGGCACTTCAGCAAGCGGACCCTCTCCTTCAGGAACTCTTGGTGTTCTGGAGAAGGAGGCAGCGTCCTAGCAATGATGAGAGGAAGCAGTTGTCCCGGCAAGCATTGGCACTGCTCCGCCAATGGGACCGGTTAGTTGAGAGGAGTGGGGTCCTCTATCGCCAGATCTTTCGCTCTGATGGGGCTGAAGCAGTTCTGCAGCTGCTTTTGCCAGCTGCTTTGAGAGAGCAGGTGCTCACCGAAGTCCACCAGAGGCATGGCCACCAAGGTATTGAAAGAACCTTGGAGCTACTTAGGCAGCGGTGTTACTGGCCAGGTATGTCCTCCGAGGTGGTACATTGGTGCAGCAGTTGTGAGAGGTGTCAAATTGCCAAGGACACTCGACCAGCGGCTCGTGCTCCCATGGGACACTTGTTGGCTTCTCGACCCAATGAAATTCTGGCGATTGACTTCACTGTCTTGGAACCCACCTATAGTAGGTTGGAAAATGTCCTTGTAATTACAGACATTTTTAGCAAGTACACTTTGACCTTTGCCACCCGTGACCAACGAGCCTCTACTGTGGCTCAAGTTCTGGTCACAGAATGGTTTTCAAAGTTTGGTGTCCCAGCCCGTATACATTCGGACCAGGGTCGAAACTTTGAGAGCATTCTTATCCAACAACTTTGCAGCCTCTATAACATTGAAAAATCTCGCACTACTCCCTACCATCCGGCGGGCAATGGTCAATGTGAACGGTTCAACCGAACCCTTCACAACTTGCTGCGTACTCTGCCTGTGTCTCGGAAACAGGATTGGAACTCCTGCTTGCCACAACTACTGTATTCTTACAACACTACTCCCCATCAGTCAACTGGTGAATCTCCATTCTTGTTGATGTTTGGACAAGAGCCAAGGCTCCCAGTTGATTTTCTGTTGGGTAGAGTCCCTGATCCAGTCGCTGAATCCATGAGTGGATTCAGGAGCATCAGGCAAAATTGCAAATTGCCTTTGAAGGAGCTCAAGAGAGGTTAAAAACTGCAGCAGAGCGCAGAAAGAGGTGCCATGACCAGTATGTCAAAGATGTCCCATTGAACGAGGGCCAGTTAGTTTGGTTGCGAGATTGTGGTGCAAGAGGGCGCCATAAGATCAGGGATATTTGGAGTTCTGTCAGGTATATAGTGGTGAAAGCACCAAAAGGCGGTTCGGTGTACATGATTGCACCGGCAAACGACCTGACCAAAACCAAACGGGTCCACCGCACTCTGTTGAAAGCTGTGGTTGGAACCCACTCTCCAGATGATGTCCCTGTCCCTCTCTCAATTCCTCCTGACTCACCACAGTCAGATGGTGAGCTTTCCTCTGATGGTGACCTATGGGTTTCAAGAAATGAAGCTCCGAACCCTCGTTCTACCAGATCAGCTGTGGTGACCCAAGAAACCCCTTGGTTGCTGTTTCCACCATCTGACGAAGCCTCCATTGAGGCCGGCCCTTCGGTAGCTCTCGCGGCCATGCCAGAATTGCCTTCCTCCCGCTTGGCTATTCCTCCAGCCACTTGCCCTGATTCTAGCGCAGTGACATTGCGACGGACAGCACGGTCAACCGCTGGGCAGCATCCTAATGTCCATCATCTCCCGAGAGTGTTGGGAGAATTGGTGCCTGTGGCCGAAAACTCTCCTGGTCCCGTGTCTAACTCTGTGTCGGTTATCTTTAGACCTTGGAACTAGGTTGGCTAACATTGGCTTGGATTCGTTCATCGTCGGGCCGACGATACAAATAGGGGGGGTAGATTGTAGCAGGATGATAGTCCTAATCCCTTAGAAAGCATATTCTCCTCTTTTGGCTCTTGTGAGCATGTCACCACCAGGGGGCACCCTATAAAAGGGCAGAGGTTTCTAGTTGGCTGTCTCTTGTTTGTTGGTACACAGACCCGCCCCACTTGCGTGTTTGCCGCGTTTGCTTCCGCCACCGGTGCAGGTATGTTGCAGTTGCATTGCTCGCTTCAGGAAAGGTTCTGCAATTTGCCAGCGTATTGATACTTAGCCCTGCTTTGCCTCACCTAGTGGTGGATCCTCCAGATGCAGCCTGTCAACGCAGCCATAGAAAGCATGAAGCTCTCTCCTCTCTGCGTCATCGATAGGAAAGCCTGATCGGTATGTGCGCTGTACGGCGATCTATTTAGTCAATCCACCTCATTACTTTTATTGATATTAACGCTGTCTTTGTATTTATTCATAAACCTAGGGCCAATCCAATGATTAAGGGACATCTGCTGTTTTGCTTCACCGGATAAAGTGTATTTATCGGCACAACTGCTGTTGATCCTGCCTAAATGTTTGGGCTGCTGCTACTGTGTTGTTGCTTCTGATTGCTGCTTCTGGCCAGCTTTGCGTCGCCTACTGCGGAGGCTCGCTCACCAGTTAAAGTGCTGCTTTAACTGCACGCCTTCCTGCTGCCTTGCTTGGGCCGACACTCGAAGTGTGGAAGTAATTGAACTCTGGGGCTAACTCCCCCCTATAACTTGTCCTTACTTTGGCCAACTTGATTTAAATTAGTTTGTTTATTTTATTCTAGTTAATTGTTTATTTTGTTTAACTGAACCTTGTATCTTGTGATTTGTTTTATTCTTAAATGTTTACACAAGTTATCTGTTTATGAGAACATATTTGCTATTGTGTTTGTTTATTACTTTGATTTACTTATTTAGCCCCCATTAACTGCATTTCCCTCTTTATTCCCCTACTTAGTTACTGAGAGCTGAAGGTGGTGGTGCTGGTGTCCAAGGTGGTGGTTTTCCTCTCTTCTTTTGTGTGTGATGTGCTCCCCCGGGATTTGATTTCCTGCACGTATGACTGGGGTGATTTAAGTTTGGTTCGTTTGGGGATCCTTCCACTCACTCGTCGACCCTATCCCCCCACTGGTAAGCCTCAGCCCCTAATTCATTTTGTTTCCCTTTGTGCTACAGCCCTGTGTGACTGTTTTAAACTGCATTTTAAACTATTGACTTGTGCTAAATAAAATTGTATATTTTTGATAAATTGAAACCACGTCTCCGGCTCCATTAGTATTCGAACCTATGTGTCCTCTGAAAAAGTGTTAACATTTCCTTGGGTGAAACTCCCAAGGTGGCGTTGTCGGAATTGTGAATGGTGTAATCAAACCAACTTGAACAAATACATTCACCTACCCTCCCCTCTGCGGCTACTGCCACACTAGTACCAATCTAAATTAATATTAAACAAACTTGTTCCTTCCATTTACAAGTCCCTAGAGTATTTTCTGTGCAGTGTTGAAAGAAGTACTCAGATCCTTTACTTAAAATTCAGTGTGCGAAATACCCGTCAATAATCGGGGGTTCCCTATCTCCCGTTTATTGCGCAATATACCGGTCGAAGATTTCTCAATATGCAGTAGGCCTATACAATATTTCATGGATGCAAGCCAAGACAATCAGTAGTCTATATAGCAGCATTTCTCAACCGGGGCGCCGTCTGGTGTCTTCAGGGGTGCCGTCAAATTATTATATATTCTGACGTTCATATGAATGAATGAATACGCGACCGTTAAAGAGCCGTCTGTTTGCGATTCTATGTGAGGAAATGCTTTTGCCAGCCAAAATAGAAGATATTTGTGAATACATGTTTTGAATGATGAATACTGGACATAGTAAGCTTAAAAACTGTTTATTGACCATTGCAAGTGACAAATAAATATTATAATTTGAGACCCCCCTCAAATGTAGCTGTTGAGGCTTTCAGGGGTGCTCAGGTGTTAATCAGGGGGGTCGAGCTCCCCCGGACCCCCCCGTATTTCGCACACTGCTGCAATTGAAAAATACTCCGTTTCGAGTCAAAATCCTGCATTCCAAATCTTACTTAAGTAAAAGTATTATCAGCTAAATGTAATTAAAGCATAAAAAGGAAAGTACTCATGCTGCATAAAAAATGCCTTTATGTATGTATATACAGTAGTTATATTTATATATGTGATAGTATTGTTGCATCAAGTAGCATTTTACTGTTACTTTTCGTATAATATTCAAATAATGGGACTATTTTGTGACTTAAAGAGTTCGTCCACTTCCAAAAATGTTTATAGATGCATTTTGTTAAAAGTAGTTAAAGCTGTTAAATAGATGTGGTGGAATTTTAATTAATTTTCCTTTTAAATGTACTGGAGGAGAAGTACCTCAGAATTGTACTTAAGTAAGGTACTTGAGTAAATGTGTGTTAGGGAATAATTAGCTTAGGTATTCAACCTTTGACCCAGTTCATTGTTTTCTCTCTTTACTGTCTCCTTTCCCATGGCATAGTTCTACGGCCTTGGGTATTGCTGCTATCTCTCTTAAGGAGGGGCAGCTTGGGCGCATTGTTGTTGCCAGTCTATGACAGAGCACAAGCCGCCATGAGGTAGTTTACTGTTCAGGGACGTAGGTTCCCTGGCGCACATTCTTTCCTATGAGAGCTCTAGTTAGATTCAGGGTCCATATTGCTTTAGTCTCACTGATAAAGAATGTTGATTATTACACTCCGAACTAGTTAAAACCTCGAGCTGCAGAAGAGTTCTTCAGAGTTGGTTTGGCAACCGTTGTGTCAACTCGTGACACACCACCTGTCTTGTCAATTCTCCGGCCGTAACTCCAAATAAACCACCAGTGTTTGCCATCAAAGCTCCAGCTCTCGTCGTGCCTCTCTGAGTCCTGACTCTTCATTGCTACAGAAGTTTCCCCCACACTTAATTACTTCCCACCTCTGTTCCTGTGACTTTTCATTCTAATATTTCCTTTTCCAGCTTCATGCCACTAGGAGTGCTGTCCATGACCACCAGCTATGTGGTTGAGGTTGGGGACTGGGAGACAGTCTTCAAACTCTTAAAGTTCACGGCTGTTGTCGTTTTTGGGTATGTTATCTTTCTTTTGCACTTTTAGCAGATATTGCAGTTGAGTATGCAAACCGTTTTCACTGCTGTCAGTCATTGTTTTCGATGTGGTTTGTATTCACTGGGAACTTTCTGCCCTTTTTCAGGCTCCTCATCCACGGAGCATTGGTCCTGCCTGTCATCTATGTCCTGTGTACCAAACAGAACCCCTTTCCTTTCATCAAGGGGGTCATGCCTCCCATAATGAGAGCCATGCTCATCTCGCGCAGGTAGGAACATTTGATTTCAATCCGGCCCGCGGGATGACTTTGCAAAGTATTAAAAAATAAGACATTGACTGCTGATATTGATATTGGTGCACTTGTGAAGGCTAAAAGAGGCCACCTTTCAGGAGCAAATTAAACAGTGAGTAAATATAAAATGATGCTTCAGACACTCCTTGAAAAATATACATCTGTGAAAATGACAGTGCTGTAAAGTAGCTAATAACATTTACTATAGTTCTGGACTTTAGTACAATTTTGAGATACTTGAACTGTACATGATTTATTTATTTTTTTGCTGCTTTTTGCTTCTACTCAACTACATTTCAGAGTTAAATAGTTTACTTTTACTCCACTACATTTATTAAAAACTCCTTTAGTTACTTTACAGATGTGGCTTAATGATGTGAAATGTAATCAAGTGTTAAATCAGACTTTAGTTCCACCTGGAGTAAATTCACAAGCTACCCTGCAGTATACAAAGTCATTCAAACTAGCTGCACCTTTACCAGCTTTGAGAACACTTTCATGATCAATCATTATAAAACATATCAGATATATTATTCTGAAATGGACCAATCTGCACAATGACTACTTTTACTTTTGCTACTTTAACTATATTTTGATGCTAATACTTTCGTACTTTTACTTGAGTAACATTTCCTACACTCTGGTACTTCTACTTTTGTATGCACATGTGTAAATGATCAGCTGAAGCATAACAATTGTTGATATTGCACTTATTTTTCTTAGGAAATGTTAGGTTGTTCATAATGTTTTGAGAAAAAGATAGTTCATTAAATGTGAACATTTTCAGAATGTACTCATTTGCACTAAAACAAAGGGAACAATCTGGAGTTGTTGTTATTTATAGGTTATTAAGCTATGACTGTACTCTTCCGGACCCCTTGAGATCAAATTGGGCTGTATGTGGCCCCTGACCGAAAATGAGTCTGACGCTCCTGATTTAAAGCCTTCAACACGATAGTATCACATAGAGTTTTAAGATTGAAAGGGAATATATGGATATTGAAGAAGAACTAACAAGGTGTTCTGTCCTCAGCTCTGCGTTCAGGCTGACCTTTCACTGCTGTGAAGAAGTCAACAAAGTGGACAAGAGGATCACGCGCTTCATGCTGCCCATCGGGATCAATATGAACATGGACGGGACAGCCCTTTACGAAATATCAGCGGCAGTGTTCATCGCCCAACTGAACTTCATCAATCTGAACTGGAGCCAGTTAATAACCCTCTGGTAAGTCTCAATTCATTCTTATCTTCTCCCCCAGCACACAGACTGAAGTTAAAGCAGTGATGTTAAAAGGGTGCATAGTGCATACTATCTTTCAAGATTTCAGATTGTAACATATTTAAACAAAACGTTCATTTTGGGACCCAGAAACATTTTTTAAATAATTAATTCACAATCGTTAAATGTATTTTTTTTTTAAAGCTAAACTTCAGCACCTTTTAAAAAGTTTATCTGTGAATATCTTTCTTTAATTATACGCCTACATAGAAATCCACATTTTTGCATAAGGATTGCTCGTTATTCTACATTTTTCCATAAGGACTCATAGACGTCAATCTTTTCCACTTTTTCCACTCCTCTTACTCATGTTGTGTTCCCTCTGCAGTCTGATCGTATCAGTGTCCAGCGTGGGAGAAGCAGGCATCCCAGCTACAGGAATGGTCACCACTCTCTTTATTCTGACCGTCATTGGGATCCCTGCGAGGGATGCTTCCCTTCTGCTGGTGTTAGAATGGCTGCTGTAAGTTAACCCATAGCGTGTTTTGGAAAGGATGCTTCCCCTGACCTCAAACAGCATGGTGTGAAGAGGCTCATACCCCCCCCCCCCCCCCTCTGGTGTTTGTCTTTCAGAGATCGTCTCAACACTGCTGTTAACGTTCTGGGAGACTGCATCGGCGTGGCCATTGTCCACCATTTGTCAAGAGCTGAACTGGCATTAATGGACATACAGCAGCAGAGGTAGGAGAAGTACTCAGATCTTGTACTTGAGTAAAAGTAGAAGTACCAGAGTGTAGGAATACTCTGTTACAAGTAAGAATAGACAAGTATTATCATCAAAATATAGTTAAAGTAGCGACAGTAAAAGTAGTCATTGTGCAGATTGGTCCATTTCAGAATAATATATATGATATGTTTTATAATGATTGATCATGAAAGTGTTCTCAAAGCTGGTAAAGGTGCTGCTAGTTTGAATGACTTTGTATACTGCAGGGTAGCTTGTGAATTTACTCCAGGTGGAACTAAAGTCTGATTTAACACTTGATTATATTTCACATCATTCATCCATATCTGTAAAGTAACTAAAGGTATTCAATAGATGTAAACGTAAACGTACACCATTTATCTCTGACTTGTAGTGGAGTAGAAGTACAAAGTAGCAAAGGATGGGAATACTCAAGTAAAGTACAAGAACCCTCAAAATTGTAATTAAGTACAGTAGATGTACTTAGTTACTTCCCACCTCTGGGCAGGAAAAGGTGAATTTGAATTGAAAACACATAGTACTCTGATGTACCCCTTTTAATCAGATATTTGATATGTATCGAAAACATGTGACAAATACTCTCTTTTAATGTTCGACAGGAGGAGAGCTTGAGGTCCAGGTTCATACAATAAAGAGGAGGACCCGGACACCATGAGGAGTTATTAAGTGCCAAGGATGAGTTTTTCTTAAATGTTTTTCTTAAAATGTCACATATTTGTTGTTACATGTTTTGCATTTTGATTTAAGAAACATGTAATTTGATATAAGATTGTTGCAAAGAATGTAAGTATTGTATTAAGTGAATTTGCAGCAGGCAAGGTTGATTTTAAAATAATTCTTTGAGTGCAATGCAGTGTTTCTCTTTGAACTATTTATTTATTTATTTCTGTCACCTTTATTGCATGATTTTGTCTTTTTTTGAATATTGTATTTAGTTTATTCACACTACCAATGGGTTGATAGTGCAATGCAGAGTATCTCTTAGAATCCTTATTAGTTCTTTGCTGTCACCTCTATGCATATGTATATTTATATATACAATGATATAAATGTTTTGTATATCATTTTGTCTCAGGTGGATTTTATTCAGTGCATTCACAATATGAACACAACAAACATTTGGAGTGATGTTTTTCATTGTATTATAATATGTTCTTCTTATAGTATATACAGTATATTTGGTTCCACATTCACAAGAAAAGATGTGCTGACTCCAAACCATATTTTATTTTTTTTTTTATAATCCAAGAACTGCATCAATATGACTCCCCATAAGAAGCCAAACAGTCTGAATAAGAACGCAATTAATACTAAGTAGCTGATTTTCTAAAGCTCTTATTTGAGCAACGTATAAGTCCAATTCATTAAACCGATTTTTCAGAATTATTATTATTCTGTTATAAAATGTGTATGTATATACTTATGTAATGCATGTATTGCCAGGAGGTAACATTCACACACACAAGGAATATGCTTTGGTGTATGTTGGTGCAAACATAAACAACATAATAAAATAAGTTGTGAGAGAAGGTAAAAAAATATAACGATTATAAAAAGAAAGAATATTTTTAAAACTATTTAACGTTAAAAAATAATAAAGACAAAGACACCTAATTTAAATATTTTAAAGAAACTAAAAAATGTAAAAAAAACTTTGAACAATGAATATATGACAATATATGAAGAACTGCAGTATATTATATTTTAAAGTGGAGGGCTGTGCAGATATGTGCAAAATATATCCAGTGAGATGATCATGACTCACAGTATTAGAAAATAACATTGTGTTCACATGATGTGCATTAATGTAATGCAACTTTAGGTGAAATAGCACCCACAACTAGAAAATGCATTTCCTGCAGAAAATGCGTGCGAATGCTGTAAACTGTGAACATTTGTGGCTGAATTTAGCTGAAAATGCAGAAAAAGCTGAATATGTTATTAGCTGAATGGTAGCTGCTTTTAGCTACAAAAATGCAGAAAAAGCTTAATATTTAAAAGAAAAGGTTTAAAAAAAGGTATACTGTAAACAACAACATGTATAGCCTTGATGTCCTGAAATAGCTGAATAATGTAATAGTTGAATGGTTTCTGCAGCTGAAAATAGGCTGAAGGAGTTAAATATCAGATGTAAGTAGTAGTGAATGAATTTGTATTAAGATGAGAAAAGAAAGTAAAAAGGCTTGGGAAAGCAGCAGAATACTTTAACTGCAAACTTTTGAACTAACTTGATGGTGAATTATCTGTCGCCATGGCAACGGCATTTGATGACACCCCATAATACGCTTAGATGTGTTGATGGCTGCATCGTTACCAAACCTGTGAAGTTTTGGGCCATTTCGAGCATTTTCACTGAAGTTATGAGAAAACCGTGTTTCATGGTGAGCATTGTGTTGCCATGGCAACGGCATTTGAAGAAATCTCAAAACTGTCCAGTAGATGTCTTCACGGCTGGACTGTTAGTGTAACCGGTGTGGTTAAGCGGTCTCTGCGTTGTGTTGATAATGGACGAGACCCGAGCCAGCGTAAAGTTGAGACGATCTGTTGACTGACAGATAAAAACGATCAGTTTTACATCAGTTTCCCTCAGTGACTCCTCTCATGTGCAACGTTTACAAAAAGGCACGTACCTGACAGATAAAAACGATCAGTTTCCCTCAGTGACTCCTCTCACGTGCAACGTTTACAAAAAGGCAGCGGAAACGGGAGGGACACAATATATAGGGGGGAAAGTCCTCACAACAATGAACTCCTGAGCACAGCGACCACACTTCAGAGGTTCCGCCCACTGATCTCCGTCCTTGCCAGGTATTTAACATTCAATAAAATGAAGAACACAGAATAAAATAATATAAAACACAGAATTTGTGTGATTATACAAAATTAAATTAAATAAACCCCACTGCATATTTATATCTGTTACACTCTCCCCCCTAAAATTACACAAAATTGCAGTGTATATATTTAGCACATTTTAACATTATGATATGCTTACCTTGAACCTTTGTGTGCTGTTTGGGTCTGTGGAACCCGTTTTCAGTGTTTACTAAAAGAACATGTATGCAATTTATTTATTTTAACCTGCTTTATTTTGGGGTGGACGGGCCTCACCTCCTCTAGGGGGGTCCTCACCTCCTCTAGGGGGGTCCTCACCTCCTCTAGGGGGTTCGGGGGGCATGCACCCCCGTGAAGATTATTTTTAAATGTTGAAGTGAAATGCATCAATCTGGAGCACTTTGAGCACAACATGAATGTATGGATACAGCTCTCAACACTCAGATGAAAGGGAGCTGTATACTTTTCAATAATCCAAACATCTTTAGAATATGATCACAACCAATAACAAATCATTTCAACTGGTTTATTCTTATCTTATGTTAGCTTATTTTATTTATGCTTATTTTACTAATCACTCCCCTTTCAAACTGTTTTTTTTTTGTTTTACTGTCCTATACACATTGGAATGATTTCTTATTTTATCTATATTAAATAGATAAAGGTGTGCTCTCCCTAGCTCTCTCGCTCGCTCTCGCTCTCTCTCTCTCCCTCTCTCGCTCGCTCTCTCTCTCTCCCCCCCCTCTCTCTCTCTCTCTCTCTCTCTCCCTCTGTCTCGCTCGCTCACAGAGGCTGTGTGCTCCTCCGTGGCGATGACGGCTTGCGTTAAAAAATACGGGATTTCGAAAAGAGCGGGGGACATTTCCCCCCTCTCCCAGGTGGAAATTACGTCATGCGTGTGTGTGCGTCAAGTGCAATAAATATATATGCAAGTTGCAACACACAGAGTAAAACTCTGCCCCTCATGTGTTGTATAGGCTGGCATGATAGGCTGTTCAATGGGGCTGATGTGTTGTGTAGATTCTGCCAGAAGGAAAATCAGCGGTGAGCTGCCACTCCACATTGCATTTCTTCCAGACTGCAACGCTGGTCCCGCAAATCAAGCAAGAACGTGATTGGTCGATACTCATTGTGGGGGGTGGGGGGAGGAGGGGTGTTAGATAGATATAGAGTTGTAGTAAGTAGATAGAGTTCGCTATGATTTAGGTTTCGTTTATGCATAGGGTAGATTCTTTTATTTACATTTCCTTTTTTGTTTTGTGTATTTTATACATTTTGGATTTGCTTCGAGCTATTTTTAGAACATGCCCCGCGGGTGACTCACGTTGCCCCTGCGGGCGACTAAGTGCCCGCGGGCACCGTGTTGGCTACCCCTGCTCTAGACAAAGTGAGATGCCTTATACATCACACATACGGCCAAACCATGTGGATACACAAAAGAAAGTGTGACATACAGCAGCAGAGTTAACCAAAAACATTCCTTTGTCACAAGAAAAAAAACATTATACATATAATAAAAATAAAACAAAACGTCAATCCTATGCCACCCCAATTTCTCACACATGGATAACAGCACCGGGGCCTGAATCAACCCCTAGAACAGACTCAAGTTGTGTCATGGACTCAATCAGACGACACACTGGCCTAAAGATTCTGCCAAACCGAGAGGCAAGCCCCCCATTGGCAGTCGGACACTGCTGTGGACCAGGATGGGCAGACAGTGACTGTGACAGGGGAACAGGGATCGGGGCAGGAACATCCAAAGCAGGGGAAATTGCCAGAGAGGGAGACAATGGACACTCTGAACTAACTGAGCCATCAATGGAGGACTGTTCGTGGACCCATGAGGCAGTGCGGCTATCTGCCCAGCCAACAGCACTCGAAAGGGAACCAGCAAGAGACGATCCGGCAGCAGCAGCTGTAGTATCCAACTCAGAGATCGCAGTCTTGTGCAAATCAGTTGCAGGGGGAACATCGGCCAAGCTAACAGTAGGCATGGACAAAGAAGCAGGACTGCCATTTGAGACCTCTTCCAGGGGCAGGAAGTCAACCTGGAGCAGCAGGTTCCGATGGACAACACGTTCATTCCCTTCTCGATCCTTGATCCGGTATATATGCAAGGCAGGTTTTGAGGCCACCACGGTGTAAATGATGGGCATCCACTTGTCAGAAAGCTTATGTTTCCCCCTGGCTCCTTTGTTCGCCAGCAGCACCCTGTCACCAAGAGACAGGGGATGACCTCTGACCCGTTTATTGTACTGGTCACATTGATGTCGTTGCTCAGCAGTGCTGTTCTTTTGAGCCAGCACCATGGCGCAGTGAAGGTCATCCAAAAGAGATTTGACATAAGCGTCGTAGTCACACACTGTGTCATCATGCAATACATTCTTGAAAAGAAGGTCAACCGGCAGTCTGGGGACCCTCCCGAACATCAAATAGAAAGGTGCAAACCCAGTGGTCTCATGAATGGTACAGTTGTACACAAAAGTCATGGTCTGGACCATTTGTGGCCATTTCTGTTTGGAACGGAGGGGTAGAGATCTCAGCATGTTGCCCAGGGTGCGATTAAACCTTTCAGTACCGCCATTACCCATGGGGTGGTAAGGTGAAGTACGAGACTTGTTGACGCCTGACAACTCGAGTAGCTCTGCGATCAGCTCACTTTCAAAGTTGGCCCCCTGGTCAGAATGGAGGCGCTGAGGGAAGCCATAAATACAGAAAAAGCTGTCCCACAGCTTCTTCGCCACCCTTTTAGCGGTCTGATCCTGACAGGGAAAGACATGAGCCAACTTGGTGAAGTGATCGGTGATC